GACAAAGGGATGCTAAGGGACAAAGATGTCAGTGTCAGTGGAGAAGCCAGAGATTGTGAATCGAGAAGTCAGAGAGTGCGAATTGCGTTGTCGAGAGAATGTGGTCCACGTGAGAGAGAGCGTTGAATCCGTGGTGACGAGTGTTACAAATTAACTATCTAGTTGCCTAAATTATAGTACGTTATTGTATATAGTTCACGTTAAACAACTATCGTTTCTTGTTTAACCAACACCTGTTTAATCCATTTATTGTAAATAAATTAATTGCAGCAAAGATCTTACAATAGAATTTGTCATAATAATGACACAAAAAATGCTAAATCATGTCCATTGATTTGAATATTTTTATCTTTCCGTAATTGAAACCGAAAAATGTTCGTCTTTTTTTTCTTCGCAAGCGATCCCTAGCTGCGTTCCTTGATCGAGCAGATATTCGAGAACGTGGCTCCTTTACACGGTTCTCCTCTTATCTTTGTTTATCTGTCATCTCTCTTTCTTCCTTTGGCTCGTTCGTTCGCACGCCTTCGCCTCCCTTTTTTCGCTTTACCCCTGGTTCTTTTCACGAAAGCCTAACGTTACGTCTGTGTCAGCCCGAACTTTATTTGGTATTTAAAATTAGTCGAGTGCGTCCAACTAATTTGTACGAAGGATCAAGGGACGACGAGGGCTAATGAACTTATTATTAGATTTTTGGAATAACTGACTGTCGACATCTCGATCGCTGAACTTCCATGTCCACATAGTGAGAGTGTATGTGTTTTTTTTAGGTCAGACCTGTCACAACCTAAGACCGATCAATTATATTAATAAGTTCTGGAATGGAGACTTTTCTCGGTTGTTCCGTGCTTCTTTTTCCTCCCTTTTTCCCTTCATGGACAGTCATTTGCTATGCGAAGAGGCCTGGAATCTATGATAGAAAATGCTTTAGAAATACTACAACGCTTTTGAGCATCAATGGTGCCGCAAGGTATCGGCAATTAACACGAATACCTTTTGCTGTCTCCCGCGTCTAATTAGAGCATATTATACCTAATGATATACTTAGTGGAACCCTTAATTTTTGGCCTGTGAATGGTGTAGTTTAGAGGAAAGAGGTTCATTCACTAGAAAGATTAAATTAGTATCAAACATGAGTATTCGTAAAGATGCTATTAACTTTTTTTAATAGCTAATTTAAGCAATTTTATTCTCATTTTGAAAACACTAAAATTTACGAATTATTTTATTGATATTATAATTTCTTGTTATCGTAATTTATTCTTATATTTTAGATATTTATCGAATCGTATAAGAAATGGTGAATATATAGTATTAAAATTATACATAGAAATTATACATAATTATAAATTATACATACAAAATATATACATTGATAAATATCAATGTAAAAGAATAAAGCATGAAAGAAGAAATATCTATAGATGTTGTCTTTATGGTGCATTTATTTTAGTTTTAATTTTTGATTTTATGAGATGATGGTATGAAGGAGAAATGAACGGAGAGTGCGTGTCATCGTTGTCAGTGTCATGTTCACCGATCAGTCAGATATAATTGGTTTAATATAACCAGCCGGACTTCTTTGACAGTGATTATCATTCTCTTATGGTTCCTTAAAATAATTATATATATTTGTTACTAAGAGGAATATTATTGGACGAAATTATCCTAATATAATTTTAGTAATTAATTCTTTTTTGAAAGCGAGATCAAACAATCGTTATGTACTTTTGACGTAATTTTCATGTAATTCAATTTGTGACTAACGATTATTTGTTTATTTTTGGTATTATTTTGTTACAGGAATTTACAAATTCTGGTGTCAAATATGAAAAAATTATGGTTTATGGCCGGGAAATTCCCTCCGTGGACTTGGTGAACAGGTAAGTGCAGTAGAAGTCGACTTTCTTTTTTAAACAAACGCAAATGTATTGATATTGAGGTTATAATACATTGAAATATAAATTATATAAATGTTTCTTCAATTTTGAAAAAAAAATTTACTACTAAAAGGTATACTAACTATATCTGTTACTAGTTATAGAATAATGAACTATCTTCGTATACAGTGAAAGTGATATTATGAAACTATTTCTATTAAATAGGAGCTTGCGTATAGAGTAGTAATAGATACATTTTTTAAACAATCTATCTAGTTTAATGCCACGTGCATTTCGTATTTACTATACTTCCAAGTATCAGAGCGATAATTGTCGATCAATTGACGGTTGTTTCGTATTATACAGATAACGGTATGGTAGAAAAAATTATATATCATCTCGTTCAAAAAACCTGAATACTTTTCTCTTTTTTTTCTTCTGCTCCTGAATATGCGCAGCAAGAAAAATGCGTAAAAATTACGATTGTTGTTTCGTCAATAATTTTGGTTTACTAATTTAGGTTGTAAAGTACTCACTATATAGCGAGTCGTATTACAGCGTCCAGGAAGCCTTAACTTGTTGAACCTGAAGCAATGAATTTAATGCAGTGAATGAATTTAAGAATGGATTTAAGGGTGAATTTAATAGAGTAAATTATGATGCCTAATTTTTTTGTGCTGTGATTATTAAATGTCGTAACAATTTAAGTTTCAATTTTGTTAGATGTTTTTTTTTTAAATGGAATTTTAGCTGTTCGATATTCGGAAAGATATCGTTTAACAAAGTTGTAAAAAACGATAAATTTTTCTAAAACAGAAACACCGAGCATATTTTAAAAACTTTTTACAGAACATTTTAGTTGTTCGATACTCGAAAAGATATCGTTTAAAAAAATTGTAAAAAACGATAAATTTTTCTAAAACAGAAACACCGAGCATATTTTAAAAACTTTAATTTCTATAATTATCACATATGTACGTAAAAACTTCCGAAGTGAACGTGGAACTATTATAGACGTATGTAACATTATAAGCTACTGACACGATTTCGTCTCCGAATTCTCTCGCAGTAGGTCAGAGAACGACCTCGGAAACTGTGGAGTTTCTCGACTCCCTTCGATCGTTTGTTTGAACCGCACAAAGCCTCCGACTCGATTTGTATAATTCGAGGATAAAATGGTGATTCACATCGTCCGTTAATAGCCAAGAAGAATGTGAACAACCAACGATTCTCATCGTGGTCGTATCCCGGACGAGCATAGTTTTTTGTTGATTTTTTAAATCGAGATCTGACGGTTTTGTACCTTGAATATAGCACGACGTGTAATTAAATGCATCCTTGATATACCAAAATATAGACATACGTTTTAATCAGTCGGTATAAATTATTTATTGCTAGTCCGTTACTCTCTAGAAATATGCAAAATTTTTTAGGCAGATACAGAGTTTTTACATTCTATTATACCGATCAGTTCGAGTAAATGTTAAACTTAAAATTTATTATATCTCGTATATATTAGCGCAACTTAATTTAAAGTTTTACAAGTTAGTGTAACGAGATATACCTAACAAAGATCACGTTGCGTTATATTCATTATCATGTCGACAATATGTGCACTCAGGTTCCTTAAATACGTTTGAATCGTGTTCTGTGAGGATTCGAGGCAAGTCGACTACGATGTACGCGCCGTGCGACAATGCACGTGGGTGTTGACGCTTCAGCAACGACGTCTTTATTTGTCGAGACATCGAACATAGGTTTCCACGTGTTCCCTGCCTTGTATTGTAAGACAATGCTCATATATTCCACGGATACAGAGAAATACCCTGACGATGTTCAAAGAGTACGTGAAGACATAGGGAAAGGAATCGGATTTTCGATACAACCGTATACTTGTCTCTTATCAACAGTTTTGGTTAACAAATATATCAATTTTAAATAAACAGTTACCTTTAAAACCATACTTATTGCATTTTAAGAAGTTATCTTTAAAAAGATTTTTATTGTGATTTCTATTCAAACGTTGCTTTGAATTTGTCAATAAGTTATACAAAAATAAATTATAAATTATAATTAGGAATCGTTGCTAGCTGTGAATCTTAATGTAATTGGGATTTTATAATTCAAGTTCTTATCCTAATAAAATGATTTTATCGCAAACAACATAGATGAGTCATCTAAAATTGTTTAGTTTGACCAGAACGATCAAAAGCCGAATAATTAATAGCGTACTGACTTTTTAAATTGCCTTCCGGGTAACACCAAAGAGGAATGTGATTTATCATGTTTTTTCTCTTTAGTCTTTGTCTTTGAAATTACATAAACAAGCCACGATGTAGTTACTATTTTTTTTTCGTTTTTTAAATTAGCGCTTATAGTACGTGTAACGCTAACAAGTATCGTGCTTGGGAAACGAGAAGCGAAGGCAAGGAAGATAGATAGTGGCGAATTTACGTAATGAAGCGATCCATCCGGGTGGTCCCAAGCGTGAGACGCATTTCTCGTCATCTTGGCAATGCTCCCAAGATGGAGAAAACAAAGAGAGACGATGGGAATTTTCGAGGACGACTCACAACAACGTTTGCTGGGTCCATGGGTCGAATTAACGGCACCGGAAGTATGAAGCAACACGCACACGTTCTCATATTATGCATACGAGAGAACGTAAAGCATCTTTTACCACCCACAACCGCTTCCCAAAACGTTTCTCTTTCATCTTTGTGCCAACACTGTCACAGAATCTCGTTTCTCGTATGGTGGACATGATACGTATCAAAATATTTGAGATGGGTTTATTCGACCCATATCCAACCACGAATTCCTTCAAGAAAGTGTTGCGTTTCTTTCAATCTCGACGCTGTCCGATCGCCTCAATTTACATATTACAACATTTATACGCGTAAAAGTAAAATTTCATTTTTTGATGTGAACATTCTGCTTCGATTTCCATACGTTAAATATGATTGTTGCATATGAAATGTGTAAAGTCTTTCGAAATATTTATCGATGCATTGCTTCAATTCGAAAAATTTTCGTACACGTAAAAAAAATTGGACAGCAAATGAAGTATAGGAAAATAAATAAAAGTATAGAATAATGCCTATATTAAATATAGAAATTTTTGGGTGAGGTTGTAACTTCTTTTTCATTGTATGTTTATACAAACTTGTATATTCATATATTCACGGCATTTGCTCACATTTGCTCGAAATACATGTTTTACAAATATAAACAAGATACCTATTTTTATAAATTTATAACACATTGTAATATACAAGGTATTTTGTTTGCGTTACCTTCCTTCGTGTTGCTATTATTTCCCACATGAATAAAATCGCGTAGAGAAAACGTAGGTGTATCTACATCGTACGACGAACACTGTGATGAATAATTTCGACTTTCAAGGCCACTTTTCTATCATTTTTTAAGATCTGCAATTAACATTTACAATCTGACCTACCATCGCTTGATATATAACCTACAACACAAAGATCCAAGTTGAAGATTAAATAGAATTTTGAATATAGTGGCAAATTTTACTTTTTTTTTGAAAATACATAATCCTGAAAACTGGGTGAAGCAATAGAAACGACACGTGTTTGCTCGTATAAGCGGACAATTGTGGTTCTAATTGAAAAACAGTTAAGCGTATTTGCAGAGTACTTCTATAATCATACCATGTCGAGAAAACGGTCATACAAATATTAGTGAATCATTCACTTATCTACGACCATGAGATCCATGCATTAAACATGTTCAAACATAGAGAATTTCTCTTTATACTCTGCTACCAAATTCATCTTTCCATATCTTTTGTACAAGCAATTCGAAATGTTTAACACGATATGTACAATATCTTCGTAAGACGAAGAAATAATTTTATTTTCAAATATAAAAATCCTCTTCGAGAGTGATCTTATGAATTACAATTTGTCTAGAGAAAGCAGACCACGTTTTTTTCTAAATGTAGTAATTGTACTTTGTATGAATTACAATTTAGTTTCGTCTATTAGTCCTTCATTTCGTTGTCTTCAAATCTGAAAATTAGTATCGAATGTGTTAGATGTTTCATACGAACATCAAATTATCAGCTTAAAAAGGTGTTCCAGATTTTTCCAGCCGGATTTTCTTAGGATCAAAGTTACAGAAAAGTTACTAGTTGTATGAAATCGGAAAATATTATCCTCCTTGTTATGTATTCCCATTTTTAATAAATCTTCCAACAATCTGTATTTATGTAACGCTTTTGTCCTTATTTATACTCATAGAATATACTGACAAACCGTGGCTGGAAGTACCTGCAATACCCTATATGTGCATATTATGATGTTTACTCTTAAGCATTTTCCACAAGGTGTCATTCTAGCTATTCTGGGTAGATATTGTCTTTCTGGTGGTAATGGTCTGGTACGGAGTCGATAAGATGTTTGTGCTAGTTTCCCCGTACGAGTTTGGGGAGTTGGAAGAGTTTGAAAAGTAGACGAAGGAGCACATCGAAACATGTCGCGTATAATTCGTTCTAGGTGCAGAAATTAATGTCAAAATCCGGTTACTTGTCATAATTTCAAGATAATGAAACACGCGTTTTACAAATCTACACGGATAATTAAATAATGAAAATAACTTACGGGAAGAGCCTGTACTATCGTCTGTGTCCAAGCTATCGAATGTGTCGTCTCCTGTTGCTATAATATCGTCTGTGGACAATGATTTCAATTTAAAAAAATTATTTGAGGTAATAATTAAGCTTGTGAAACTATCATATTACCGTATCTTTATGATTATATGTAATAGCTTTTTAAATGTTAAACTTTAACGATGTTTATTGGATGACGTATTTGTGGTTCTTTGAGTTTCGACCGTGTTTTTGATAGTACGTCGCTCTTTGTTCCACCGTTTCAGTGAACATTCCAGTTTACTTCCTCGAAGCAGACACGACACTCTTGTAGAGTTTTCAGAAAGAAAGACCTGAAGTTTTCGACCTGCTCTGAAGAAGTGAACAACTCGTACTATCAAAAACATGATCGAAACTCGCAGAACCACGAGTACGTTATATCATCATAGTGCCATTATTATAAATATGAAATGTATAAGTATGGTTTTACATTATTGGTTGACATACAATTCAAACGACGAGATGCTACAGCTACTCCCTGTCTTAGATCGCGGCGTTGGCTGAGTACTCTAAGTGGCGCAGCTGGCGTACGGAATTCTCGTCGGGCTGATATAGGAGTTCTTGGGGTTGCTGGGGTTGCACAGGCAGGCGAGCAATATTCGTCATAAGAGTCCTCAACGATTTGATCTACTGGTGTTCGCCATGATGCTTCTTGCGAGCTTTGTCTTTAAATACCATATAAATGATGTTATAAATATTTATTTTATTTCATGATTTATTATCATCCTTGCCTTTTGACTTGGGATGGCTTCCGGTTGACATCATATCTACATTTACATTCTAAACTCTTATCTTGCTAATTAACTCAATACATTTTATCATTATAGTTGTTTATATTATTTAAACGATATTTCGTGTACTACTGACACTTGACAGCACATACCATTTATGTTAGTTTGATAATTACTAATAAATCTTAAATTGTAATTACGTATTTAAGACTATTTAAGAATGGAGTAATTTATTATCTGTCTGTTTATCAAACATGTGAAGTTTAACGTATACGTAACATTTAACGTAACCAAAGATGATGAGTTAATTCGATATTAAAATTGTAAATATATGGACATACGTGACGTTTCATTTTTTTTCAAAAATAAATTATATTATATTTACATTCCGTAAGCGCTAAAACTGAATAGCTACAATTAACGTATCCTTCCAGTAGCTTCTAATCTCGTAATTAAAAAAGTTGCTAGGTTAATAGATCAAGGATATTAATATGTCCTAATTTTAAAAATCATGTGCTATAGAATAACCTTAAATCCTAGTGAAAAAGTTATATTATATTATATTATGCTTGCTCCTAAATCATCGATCTTCTCTTTCTTATCTTTCTTATAAATTTTTAGTTGTAAGATACGTGTGGCGGAAGATGTTTTCCTTATATGAAGCTTTATTTATGATAATCGCGAGTGATTCATGAAACACGCGACTGACAAATTTAATCATTTGATCATTTTATTCATCTATGTTTATGTTCACGTTTACGCTGAATACATTAATATTTATGTTTATATGTTCGTTTTATGGGTAATTAAAAATAGGTTACTCACGCTTGTTCGTACGGAAGACTGAGAACATCATCGGTGCATTCTTGTTTGTTACAAGAACACATAGCGTAGTAAAATGTAAATTAGATCATAAATATAAGATAAGTAATTTTGAATTTGTGGCCAAAGTTAATTATTTTGTATAGGATAGTTTAAAAAATTACATTTTGACAAGTGTAATGTTACTTTCAACTATCATATTTTTTTTACCAGCCGCCTGGTTCGATTGCTCATTCGTAAGTCTAAGAATTATTTTATTCCCGCTATCGGTCATGATGCATTTAGCGTTTAATAATTAATCCTTGATACATATTCTTACACTTTAAATTGCGAATATAATAATGTTTTACTATTTGAAATCGTTAAATAACGATTAACTTTTATATCAAGAGATTTATCTTGTTTTTATGCAGCAAGTTTTTTTCGATAAAGTTAAGCAGTAATTTTAGTAAGCATTTTTTCTATTCGAATGATAATTTAAGTGCCTAATCGCAATTCTAGGTTCATTTTACACATGTATCTGCTATACATAACGTATATGTAGCGCGATATACGCGTGTACAAGACCACACAGCGTGCGATATTCAAATGAACTTCGCTTCTGCTGTACTATCATGCTGCCGTAAACGTCATTTCGCAGTTTCACGAGCTTCTCCTTATTTCGATTGAACTGTGTGACACGTAGGACCACTGAAGTTTTTGTGATTTCATGCAGACCAAATATTGCGATTTGGTGGCCAGCAGCTCCCTTTCGATGTTTTTGGTACTCGAGCTAAGGCTTCTTTACATGAACGAGAGAAAAGATCCATCGTAACGTGTCAAATTTTGCGGTATGCAAGAAATAAAACCAAACGTGCAAAATCAAAAGTTGACAATAGAGGATATTTTTTATTATATGCATTACACATATGTACATTTAGTTTTTAACAAAATTAGGTGCAAATTGTCTTTATGCATATGTAATTCAAGACATTTTTTATCCAGTATGGTTAATAATAATAATAATTATATACATTATACAGTCACAGTGGTGATGTGATAAACATATCGTAACACGTGTCATATGTGCATAAATTGATACACGAAGATTGCAAAGTCTTCGATATTTTCCCGTGAAAAATTTATTAAAGCTGAGAAATAATTTTTAATGCACGACGATTTACAAATATAATGTACTTATTATATTTATCTTCTAATAGAATCTATTACATTTCATATCTACATATCGCTGATCGCATTCACCGAATAATAAACTTTACAACGAATCAATGAATTATCATTTCACAATATCGCCATATTACGTGTAAAGAAATTTAAGTTTAAACATGAAAAGACATTCATTAAAAAAAGTTTAATGGATATACAAGGAGAGAAATTATTCTATTTTATATGTCAATAAATACCTTCCATTTAAATGTTAATAAAGTATTAGATACTTTTTTATATTGCCAGTTGAGAAGAATAATATTACTGTCGGATGATAGATATTATAAAAGTATTATAATGGTCATCTATCCTACATAGTAAAACTCCAGTGAGATCGATTTTTCGGTAAAGATGAAAAGAATTGAAAGAACAACGTTAACGATGACAAGAACAGCGGCAATGATGATCGGAACGCGTTGATGATGCCCGGTTTCGATAGCTGGTTCTTTCAATGGGGAAATTCCAAGCGAGCAGGGTGCGAAGCGCCTTGTCCGCAGACACCTCCACGTCCACGTCGAATCTGTAATTCAAATTCGAAGTCAAATTAATTTAACGCTCGTCATTTTTCACATACCGCCGGCGCCACGGTGCGCGGATCTCCGGCAGCCATTTTTCGATATTTCATTCTCAGGGGGTACTATCTCTTTTCTGATAGATGTGTCTTCTCGAGGTTCGGCTATCTCGACGCGGAAGAACGTGTAGTGCCTACTTGAAATATTATGGGACATAAATTTAAATCTAAAAATTGTTTTAACCGATCGAACAATTAGGATTTCTTATCCAAATATCGTTTCAAACAGTCTAGAAATTTAAATTTTTAATCTAAAAATCATAATATCTGGGAGAGAGATAGAGGGGTGGGGGAGGGAGAGAGAAGAAACAAATCAATACTATGTAGGATATTGCAAAATGCAATTAGATCTTTCTAGTATCGTATAATTTAATTGATAATTAGTTTATGTAAAAAGAAGCTATATTGCATGTATATTTCACGCTAATTGCCGCTATTTACCGCATGTGCTCGTTAAGGAACTACGATTCGTAGAAATAAACAGGCTTTTTATTCAGTTATTCCGTTAACGCGTGCGTTGAAGAACTTGTGGAATTCGTATATTGAAATAATAATCTGAATTTATCTGTTTACATGAGTGAATTATATTTAACGTCTTTTATCGTCTGAGTTAGTTTCTATCAGTATACTGAAATACTTCGTGAATTAACTTGCATACGATACATTAGTGAAAGAATCTACTTTCATGTTACATCAAAACATTTGTAAAGTTGTCGTATCATTCATCGACCGTAAGTATGTGTTTACACATTTTTCGAAGTAGCCATCCTATTGTTACGCATTCATAACACGATGACGCATTGTCAGCATATAACAATTAAGAACATTGAAAGACTTTGATGCTTAAATATTATTCTTTGTGCATTTGTTGGTAACATTTTTAGTAACAAACATATATTCTACTAATATTTTTCTTATATATAATATATTAAGAATATTTTTAGTAAGATATAGTATTTATAGTGTTTTATATATTTATAAATGTTTGATATATTTTAATAATGTATTCTTTAAATTAATTTTAATGCATGTTTTTTTAATCAGTTATGTCGTATACGATCATCCATCAGTTCAGTTTGAAAAATTCTCGTCTACTAGCAGGTAACCATTAGATCCGAGGATACGTAATAAGTTACACGCGTATCCCTATTCTTATAACGTATCGATACTGAACGACGATGGAAAGCAGTCGGTAAGTCGGTGAATGAGTTACCATTTGTAATCGTGTTAGTCTAATCGGTGTTATAGGAAGTCCACGTTAAAGGTAAAAGGGACCAGAGGCACTAAAACGGTCCTATTAAGCCTCTATAGAGAAGCACTATTGGGCCACCCTATTCTCACACAATGACGAGTAATAACTTTTCGTGGAACCAACCTCATCGTAGATATATTTAGGAGGAGAAATCGAAACGATTTCACGCTTATCAGAACAGTTTTCGTTTCTTTTGTTGGTGAATTTATTAATAAAGATACACTAAATGGGTACAAAATAAAACTACTTCTACTAAAGGTTAATCGAACAAAGTCTTCTTCCAACGCATTATTCTTCAACCCATAAAGAACTAGGCAGCGGAATAAAGCGTAATAAGCACGCGAACGTAACATTATTACGTAATAACATATTTGTAGATTTGAAGATCGAAGAATTTGAAGATCTGACAACTTCGAAATTTGAGTGCGAATTGTTGCGTTTACGTCAGCAACGCTGACCCTTAATGCTTCACGAGAATTTCTATTTGTAACGAAAAGAAATTCAACAGTTATCTTTATTTATATAAAACGTGCATATAAAATTAAGCAGCTGTGTAGATGCTTCATACGGATAATTTTAATAGCGACTACTTCCACCATAAACGTCGTTTCGTGCGATTTATCCAGCAATATTACGAATTACTTGAACGAGCTTGCCAATTTAAGATACCATTTAATCGAAGATGCAAAGATTTCAGCGTAAACGTCGTAACTGAAATGCAAGCGTGCGTAATAGCGAGATGAGAAATTAAAGTCGTATTAATATCAGGCTGGAGGGAGCAGAAGCAAAAGTCGAGATATCTCCGAGCGCGTTCGGAATGTTTCTGGAATCTCGACGGAATGTATAAGGGGAATGAACACCTTGCGATAATTTATCGAGTAGCCGAAGTAGGCTTAATCCGTTAATAAGACCTCCCTTTCCCGTTCTTTCCTTTTTTTAACCGGACAGACAAAAAAGGGATGGCGACGCACGACTCCGCCCAATGAATTATTACAAGCGGTATCCTATCTTCGAATCTGCAAAGTTTCAGAGATCTTTTTCTCATCCTCCTTTCGTATCTTTCCTCTCTAGTATTTCCTTTGCTGTGCGTTATAAGAAAGAACCGTTCAATGAATCTACAGAAATCGTATAATGACAGAGGAAAAATTTATTATTTCGCATTCGTTATTAATTTTAAGCATAAATTAGTCTACGATTAACGAATTGAATTAAATCGGTGATAGCTTAAACGAAGGAGAAAGAAAACACATTATAAACTCCCTTATATTTTAACGATTAAATGAAATTGTTTAATAATCGATAAGTGTTTTGTTATATCTCGTGTATTGTCAAGAAAGATGAAAATTTATCTTATTGGTTATAAATTAAATTTTCAATTTGACGATAATTTGACAATTTTTCCATTTGTTAATGTTTTCCTGACACGTGGATTCCCATTCTTGGTGTATTCGTTGCAATTCAAGGTGTGTAACATTCACGTTCTTAAGCTTCATTACCATATTCGTCCGTTTGCTACGGAGTCCCTGCATGCCTATTACGCAGTTATTACACTGTCACTTCTCCAGACCGGTTACCATATTTGAATATTGATTTAGCTGATTATTTTTTTATCGACACCATGGAAATTCGATCGCTATTTGTAGTTATTTTGAAAAATTATCAGTAACGTGAAAGTATAGGGAAGGACGCCGCTCGCTTTACCCTCCTCCTCGTGTTCTTATTGCACACTCTATGCATGAGAAACATCCGCAAACTTTTATAAAATTTCCCCCTATCATGCTACGTTACAATTTACGATAAGCAGATTAATCAAAATTGCAGGGACGATGGTTCATGTCATTTTCATGTCATTATAATATTAATTTATGTTACAATATAAATTGTTGAGATACAGTTATCGTAAGTGTAAACTCCATTTGTATACTTATTTGAAATAATCAATATATTCATAATTTGTTGTTACAACTTATTACCTAATAGGTACAAAGTATAAAAGCTATAAGACTACATATAGTATAGATACCATATAGTATCTACATTAATTTATAATAATTTACGTTCTTTCAAGTAACTTTCATTAATATATATAAATCGACGTAATGCAACTTACGTTCAAAAACAACTTGTTAGTCACAAACTGCAATGTAATGAGATAATAATTGCAGGTATATGGTAACAGTAATCGTAAGAAAAATTCTCTGCAAGTCAAACACGTATCTAGAATTTTCTAAGTTTTCTAATAATTTGTCAGGAATAATCGTAAAAGAAATGTTAAAA